CGAGCTCGCGGAAGCGGCGGAGGTCGACGACGTAGAGGGCGGAGATGTGGTACGGTTGGCCACGGAGGTAGTTAGCCCAGTAGCCCTGCTTCCAGAAGCGGAAGCCTTCCATCTCGGTGCGGGAGTCGCACATGGGTGTGAAGCCGTAGGGTTTGCCTTCGAGGTCGTGGTTGACGAGGTTGATCATGTCGGTGCGGACGATTTGGTCTGCGTCGACGAAGATAACCTTGTCGAGGGAGAGGGGGAAGAGCACGTCGAGGAAGAGGATCTTGTAGCCCCAGATCTCGCGCTGCTTTTCCTTTTGTTGGCGGAGCCAGTGAGGCCATTTGAATGTTACCATCTCGTACTTGAAGCCATACTCTTCAGCCAGGTGGGGAATGAAATCTTTGAAGGAGGGAGAGAGGAATTGCTCAATGAACCAGAACTTGACCGTGTGCTTGGTGTTCTTCATCACGGAGACCATCATGATGTTGAGCATGCGCTCATAAAGGTGACCGCTTGCGACGGAGAAGATGTTAATCTCCGCGTGCTCCTCGTCTGAGATAGACTTGGTCTTCTTGCCCAGGATGCCTCCCGCAAGCTTCAGACCGCGACCGACAAGGCTGTTGTCTTCCTCCACAAAGAGGACGTCCGACTCCTCGTGGCCTGGCTTGCGAGACAAGCGAGGGTAGAGCGTGGTTCCCTGGAAATCCATGAGGACTACCTCGGTGCCCTCGTCACCGGGGACGGGGTTCCATCCCTTCGCGCCAATGCTGTCAATGGTGTAGATTTCGGAGCTTCTACCCTGCTTGAGCTGGATATTGTAAAAGCCCGGGTTGGCTTTGAACTGGAAATAACCCAAGTTGGCCATGGCGATCGTGTCTGCGAAGTGAGGCTCCTTCTCGGTGCCAAGTACGAGCTGGGCACCGCGAGGAGGTTGGGTAGCTTTGCCCTCGCGCGAGTGACCCTCGATAAGAATGCTCTCAAGCTCGTAGGAGGCGTGGACGTTGGCCTTGATGGAGCTGAGCTTGATGTTGTCAGGGTCGTGAACCGAGACCTTGGGGGCGACGAGCCAAGATGGAGGCACGTCCATGCCAGCATTCAGCAAGGCTTCGGAAGGAAGACCCTTGAAGGAGGCTTCGAGGGCGCGCACCTTACCGGTCTCGTCAAAAGTCGGCTCGGAGTCGAGGACATAGCGGAAGAATCTCTTGACGGGAAGTTCGTCGATCTTATCCTTCGGGTTGAGGAAAAGCTTTAGATAGACTCCCTCAAGCTCGGAAAGGACCTTCAGGATGGGGGCCCATCTCTGGGCTTGCTCGCTGGCAGGGTTCAGAAGACCGACCAGATGGATGCTCGAGGTCTCCGGGTTTCCGATCTCGATGGCGGTGTATGTAGAGTTCCAGGTGTCGTAGGCACTGACACGAACAGATGGCGCAGTTTCGAAGATGTCCTCAGGCAAGTCAGACATGCTAGAGAGGGCGGTGACAGAGGTGATCTTAGCAGCCGCTAGAGGTCCCGCAATCTTGTCGGTCAAGCCGAGTTCATCAACAGCAGAGTACACGGGGAGAATGCGAGCCTTTTGTTCGAACTCGAGCAGGTATTGGAAGTCATCAGCCTCAAAAGGCTCCTCGGCGGTGAAGGGACCAACGATGCGGCCGTTGAGAATGAGCAGGTTTGACCCAGGCTTAATGGCAGCAACAGAGTGGAAATCATTGAGGGCTGCAGCATAGATCGCATCAGAGTCGCTGTCAGCTGCCTCAGAGATCGTCTTGATATCGGCAATAGTCTCAGCTTCAGCAAGCTTGTCGCTGCTCTTCAATGCTTTGTTGACAGAAGAGGCCGAGGCAGGGTTCTCCGGGTTGTGGACTACATCCAGGCGAACTCCGGGGTTGTTGCGACGGAACGCTAAGGCAGAACGGAGAAGATCAGCTCCAGCGTCAGTTGTGATGTCAGCAACAACAGTCAACACTGCCCAGTTCTCCTTTGTGGAGTCAGCGTAGGCTTCAATGACTGGAACTTTGTTGAACAAGTCGTCATGGTCGGTGTAGATCTTGTTGACATCCAAGATCTTCAGGGACTTGTCGTTTTCCGGGTAGATGTATGTGTTGCGTCGCTTCAGTGCCTTCTCAATGAAGAAGTCAGGAATCCACATCTCTTCGTCAACCATACCCATGTAGACAGCCCTTTGGATGGTCTGCAAGTCGTTGGCAGCCTTGACGCTCATGGCTTGGAGCCAGTTGCCTTCACGCGGCACAGGTACACCGTCAATAAAGACAGGTGGAATTGGGGTGTTAGCGTTCAATCTCTTGGCCCATTGCTGCGCAAGCTTGATCACCTGCTGGGCACCCTCTGATTGCAGAACATCCTCGAACGCAACAGCGGTAGCCTCGTGCAGAAGTTCCCGGTCCTTGATGGCCTTCTCAAAGCAGGCTGCATCCGCCTTGTCTGTCTTGGAGTCTTGCAAAGCAGCATCCAAGTAGTCAACAAAGGCTTCCATGCCATAGCTGTCAAGGAGATAGTAGAGAATCTTGGCAACACCGACAGACTCCTCAGTGGGAGTCAGAGGAACCAGACCGAACCGCAGGGGAAGCTTGCGCTTTACGAAGGTGTTGAGCTGGGATACCACACTGAGATCTTCGATCTTGGAGAAATCGACAGGAACGATGAGATTGAAGATGTCTCGGCGGATAGGAGGAAGCTGGCCGGGGTAAACGCGCTGGAGGAGCTAGAAGCAGGTTAGAGAGTTACAACCCCCGTAAAATTGGCCCTTTACTCACCGACATCAATTCCGTAGGGTAGTTCGCGTATTGCTCATCCTTCTCCAGGTCGTTGAGGAAGATTATAACCTTCCCCTCTTCAATGTCATCTGTCCAGTCAAAACGCGGGGGCTCATCGTCAGCCTTGGACTCGGCGACCTTGGGATGACCAAGGAGCGCAACAGCCTGTCCTCCCGAGAAGCCCAGATCCCGAACGCCATCAATAAGCTTGCGCTCGCGGCGAAGGATATCGACCAAGGTGAAGGCCTCGATCTGGCGCTCGATGAGCTGGACTCCGTTGATCCAAAGCACATTCATACCGCTTGGCACCAGCTGTTGGCGGTTAAGTTGGTGCTCGGCCAGGAACTTCTCCGATACATTGTGAGCGGCGATTGAGGTGGAGAACTTGGGGAAGTCCTGAGTGAGCTTGAGGAGAGCCTCGAATGGGTTCTGATTCTGCATTACGAACGAAGCCGCCTTGAGACCTAGCTGTTCCAGCTCCGACTTTGCGAGAGGCTTGAGATCCGTCACCTCTTCTGCAGCATCCAGAACCTCCTCGGAGGTAATCTTTTTCTGAGCATCGTCACCGCCATGAGCTTCGCGATCGTCGATGACGATGTAGTCGGTTCTTTTCAACGCCAGTTCGACTCCGTAACCATTCACAGGAAGCGCCTCCTCGTAGCTGCCGGCGGGCTTCGTGTAACGCAGGCGGTACTCTACTTCGCCATTGCGGGCCTTTTGCGCCAGGGCACTGTGAAATGCACCAAAGCCAGGTGACGTGGGGTCTGCGTAGAGAACGGCTTCGCTTCCTGAACCCAAAGTCCGGTCGAAGGGCAAAGCTTTCGCTTCAGTCAACTTGGTGTCCTTGGGGGCGTCCAAGGCCGGGGTGCAATATTGCTTTCCTCCCAACTCGGCCCACACCTCACACCCATCCTGAGTATCAGACTCGAGCTTTGGCTCGACAGCGGTCCGGTAGTATTGATAGTGAGCCTCGACTCGTGGAGCAGCCGTTCTCAGGGACAAAGCCAGCTTGAAGGTGGAGAGAGCGTCGGGAGTGGTGATGTGTCCATCGTCGCGGAGGACCTGGAGGAACTTGTCGTAAACATCCTTGTCCGTCTTGGAGTCGGCGAAATGTCCGCTAGCAACGCGGTCGAGCAGAGGAAAGTAAGATGTTGCGTTTTCACCTGCAGCAGTCTCTCTGGAAATTTAAGGTCAGTCCTGCAGCTCCACAGACTCTGGGTCCCGGGCAAGCGACTTACAGCAGCTCGAGAAGGTAGGGACCGGACGGGAAGGCCGCTTTCATGTCCACAGTGACGGAGGGTACAGCTGCAACATTGGAGGCTGCCAACAGCGTCAGGGCAATGCCCATTGGCAGCTGGTACGGGCGCACCATTGTGTAGGAGGAATTGCGACGGCCTGCGCGGGCTGTCCTCCGGGAAGGTGGGTGCTTTTCGGTTGGTGGTTGCCAGAAGGTGTCTGTGGTCCTGGTAGAAAATAAGTAAGGTGGTTTGAGGCTGCTTGTGATTTTCCCAAAAAGGCAACGGCGCCTGATTATTGTTTATGGTGTCTGGCGCATGGCTGTTGCGAGAATGCTTGGAGGGGTTTTGGAAATCCGTCCGCTAGGCCCAAGACAAGATCGGTAGAGAGACTGGACTCGGCCTGTCGAGGTGAGGTACACCACAGTGTGCAGGCAGGCAGGTGGTGTAAGTGAACACATTGACAAAAGAGCTCTCCAGAAGCGGACTAGCGTCGCTCTGGCCAGGGGTCGTAGGTCCGCGCCAAAATGCGGCAGAAAACCAGCCTACTGGAGGGGCAGCAGCTGGGACGCCACCTTACGTAAGCCAACTCGACGCTTGACAGGGGGAAGCCACAGTGTCCAGTCCGGGCGGTGAGCTCTTACGGAAGACGGCGGAACTCTGATGCGGCAGCACAGCAGCTCACTGACAGGCGCGCCATTGGGACCCACTCCAAGCCCACACTTTACAGATGGCCACGAAGCGGAATTGTTAGTTACTAGGGGCTCCGAGACGAGGAAGTGGCCTTTACGTATCTTGCCTACATCCTCCCAGTGCGTATCCAACCACTTCTCACCGCGCCTCAACTCTCCGTGACCCGTGAATGTCACTGTCATTCTCCTCTCCATCTCCAGCTTGTACCTGATTACTGGTCGCTAAGCTGGCCTGCACCTGTTCCTTTCTTCCTTGAGGTGCCGCTTGTTTGCTTCTTTCTGCTTGCTAGAAGCTCCGGCTTCACCTCCCCGCCAAAATGCAGGCCTCCTCGGGCATGTTGACCAAGGTATGTCTGCCCACGGCGCATTGGCATCCAGTCGAGATCCCTTGAGGATATACTCGATGGCTCACAATCAATTCAGTTCGAGTCCAAGTCTTCGCGCGCCAAGGGCATTGCCTTCCACCCGAAAAGGTGAGCCTTCCATCTCCCAGCTGCCCAACCCAGCCCGCGAGACGCCGCCCCCTTGCTGACGTGTAGCTTCCAGACCATGGATCCTCGTCGCCCTTCACTCCTCCACAATCCAGCTTTGGGACTACCGCATGGGAACATTGATCGACCGATTCGAAGAACACGATGGCCCGGTTCGAGGAATTGACTTCCACAAGACGCAGCCCCTCTTCGTCTCTGGAGGCGACGACTACAAGATCAAGGTGTGGTCATACCAGACCCGTCGCTGCCTGTTTACTCTGAACGGCCATCTCGACTACGTCCGAACCGTCTTCTTCCATCACGAGCTGCCATGGATTCTGTCGGCTTCAGACGATCAGACAATTAGGATATGGAACTGGCAAAATCGCTCTCTGAGTGCGCAAAACCCCTGGGATCCCTTGGTTGCTAAAGGAAGCATTGACTGACTATGACTTGCAGTCTGCACAATGACAGGACACAACCACTACGCCATGTGCGCCCAGTTCCATCCGAAGGAAGACCTCGTTGTTTCCGCCTCCCTCGACCAGTCTGTCCGTGTCTGGGATATCTCCGGCCTGCGCAAGAAGCACTCCGCCCCGACATCCATGACCTTCGAAGATCAGGTCGCGCGGGCGAACCAGAACCAAACCGATATGTTTGGCAATACCGATGCCGTTGTCAAGTTCGTCCTGGAGGGTCACGATCGCGGTGTTAACTGGGTTGCTTTCCACCCCACCATGCCTCTCATCGTCTCTGCTGGCGACGACCGCCTCGTCAAGCTGTGGCGCATGAGCGAGACCAAGGCCTGGGAGGTCGACACTTGCCGAGGCCACTTCCAGAACGCCTCCGGTTGTCTTTTTCATCCCCACCAAGACCTGATCTTGTCCGTCGGCGAAGACAAGACGATCCGTGTGTGGGACCTCAACAAGCGCACTGCCGTACAGTCTTTCAAGCGCGAGAACGACCGATTCTGGGTCATCGCTGCCCACCCCGAGATCAACCTGTTCGCTGCCGGACATGACAACGGTGTCATGGTCTTCAAGCTCGAGAGAGAGAGGCCCGCGTCGGCGGTTTACCAGAACAATCTCTTCTACATCACCAAGGAAAAGCACGTCAGGTCATACGACTTCCAGAAGACCATCGAGAGCCCGACTCTGTTGTCGCTCAAGAAGCTTGGCAGCCCCTGGACTCCTCCTCGCACACTTTCCTACAATCCTGCGGAGCGCTCCGTTCTGGTCACCTCTCCCTCCGACAGTGGATCCTACGAGCTGATCAACCTGCCCCGTGATGGATCTGGCGCCATCGAGCCGACCGAGTCGAAGCGCGGCCAGGGCAACTCTGCCATTTTCGTTGCGCGCAACCGCTTCGCCGTCCTGAACACCGCCAGCCAGACGATCGATATCAAGGACCTGTCCAACAACACCACCCGATCATTCAAGCCCCCGGTTGGAACCAGCGATATCTACTTTGGTGGTACCGGAAACCTTCTCATCATCACGCCGACCGCTGTTCACCTGTATGATATCCAGCAGAAGAAGAGCGTTGCTGAGCTGGCTGTGAATGGTGTCAAGTATGTCGTTTGGTCCAACGATGGTCTCTATGCTGCTCTCTTGAGCAAGCACAACGTCACCATTGTTACCAAGACTCTGGAACAGGTCAGCACCCTGCACGAGACCATCCGTATCAAGAGCGCAACCTGGGATGACGCCGGTGTCCTTCTGTACTCGACTTTGAACCACATCAAGTACACTCTCTTGAACGGCGACAACGGCATTGTCCGCACGCTTGATCAGACTGTTTACTTGGTCCGTGTGAAGGGTCGCAATGTGTACTGCCTCGATAGAGCCGCGAAGCCCAAGGTTCTGCACGTTGACCCCACCGAGTATCGCTTCAAGCTTGCTCTTGTTAAGAGGAACTACGAGGAGATGCTTCACATCATCCAGACCTCCAGCTTGGTTGGCCAGTCCATCATCTCCTACCTCCAGAAGAAGGGTTACCCCGAGATTGCTCTGCAGTTTGTTCAAGACCCTACTACTCGATTCGAGCTTGCCATTGAATGCGGGAATCTTGAAGTTGCTGTTGAGATGGCTAAAGAGCTTGATCGCCCCAAGCTCTGGCAGCGATTGGGCTCTGAGGCCCTGTCCCACGGCAACCACCAAATCGTCGAGATGGCTTATCAGAAGCTGAAGCAGTTCGACAAGCTGTCGTTCCTGTACCTGTCCACTGGTGACCACTCCAAGCTTGCCAGGATGGCCAAGATTGCAGAGCATCGCGGCGACTTCACCGCTCGCTTCCAGAATGCTCTCTATCTCGGCGAGGTTGAGGACAGAATCCAAATGTTCAAGGAGATCGATCTTTGTAAGTTACCCTCAACGCATTGGACTTCTAAAGCTAACCACCTCAGACCCCTTGGCGTACATGACTGCAAAGTCGCACGGCTTAGATGAGGAATGTCAAGCTATTCTCGAGGCTACGGGTCTCACCGAGGACCAGCTGGAGACTCCAACCATTGGAGAGGCCCTGACTCCACCAAAGCCCGTTGTCCCAACCTTCAAGGCCAACTGGCCTACAAAGGCGACATCAGTTTCTGTTTTCGAGAAGGCGCTTCTCGGCCAGGTCGAGGGTCTCTCGCTTGAAGATGAGCCCGCTGCTGCCAACGGTTTCGATGACGCAATTGACGATGATGCCGCCAAGAAGAACGGCAACCTGGTTGACGCCGAGGATGACGAGGATGCGGCTGGCTGGGACATGGGTGATGACATTGTACCCGAAGTTGAAAGCGACTTCGTCAACGTTGACAGTACAGAGGCCGGTGGCGCTGGAAGCAGCGAAGCTGATCTCTGGGCTCGCAACTCACCCTTGGCTGTGGACCATGTTGCCGGTGGCTCTTTCGAGTCAGCTATGCAGCTACTCAACCGACAAGTGGGTGCTGTCAACTTTGCGCCATTGAAGCCGCGGTTCCTCGAAGTCTACCAGGCATCAAGAACATATCTGCCAGCCTCGGCAGGTCTGCCCCCGTTGGTCAACTACGTTCGCCGCACGATTGAGGAAACGGATCCTAGAAAGGTCTTGCCCATTGTGCCTCGCGATCTCGAATTCCTGGCCACCAACGATCTTCAGCAGGGTTACAACTCTATGAAGACAAACAGGCTCGAGGATGGCTTGCTCCTTTTCAAGGGCATCCTCCATGCCATCCTTATTAACGCCGTTTCCAGCGAGACCGAAGTTGCGGAGGCGAAAAAGCTCATCACATCGGCTAGCGAGTATGCTGTGGCCATGGAAATCGAGCTTAGCCGTCGTCAACTCGGCACCAGCCCCGACCAGCTCAAGCGCAGCCTGGAGCTGTCTGCTTACTTCACCATCCCCAAGATCGAGGTTCCTCACCGCCAACTCGCTCTGCACAACGCCATGCAGCTGGCGATTAGGAACAAGAACTACAACTCGGCTTTGAGCTTCGCTAACCGCATCATTGCCAACGGTGGCTCTAGCAAGCTGACCGAAAACGTAAGTCTTCCTCTGCTTCAAATAACACTTACTCAATTAACAATCATACAGGCCAAGAAGGCGAAGGCCCAGTGCGAGCGTAACCCGTCGGATGCGATCGAGATTGAGTTTGATCAGTTTGCCGAGTTCGAGGTTTGCGCAGCCAGTCACACGCCTATTTACAGCGGTACGTCTTACGAGGAGTGTGCCTTTGACGGCTCCAAGTACCACACGAAGTACAAGGGAACCGTCTGCAAGGTGTGCGAGGTATGCGAAGTTGGTAAGCATGGCAGTGGCCTGAAGCTCTTCGCATAAGGGGTTAGATAGTATAATGGGGTTCCACCAGCAGTGAAAAGCTGCCGGAGACGCAATGTTCTCGGCCTTCAGGGGGTGGTGGTCTTGGGAAAAGTTACTGTAGACAGGGCCGAAGGTCTGAATGAAGTCCCAGACTTTTGATTGTTAGCAATAGTTTGCGGGAGACGAATATATGTCATCACTTGTTCATCTTGCTTGTCAGCGTCTGTTTTCATCATGCTGCCGTATGAATGGCCACGAGAAACGCGATTAGTGATGTTTCTCTGTGACCCGATGCAGGGGTCCACCATTTGTGTTTGAGCATGCAATTGTCATAACGCCAGAGCTTGGATCCCGATGTCCATGCCCCTATCTCATGGTCTATCGCGTGATATTAGTGGTACAGTGAAAGCCATCGCCCCTCGTCTCTACCGCCCGTCTACACAATGGTCTCGAGATCCCTGGCGTAACCCAACGTGTTCTCTATCACCATCTGGCTCATCTCCTTGTCGTGGGTGCCGTCCTCGGCGGCGGTGGCCTCAGCCGTGTCGGGGAACCGGATCTGGCCGTCCTTGAGGATCCAGCCGCGCTGCTGGGCGAAGGAGATGACGTCGCCCTCGGAGTCGAGGAAGAGGAGAGACTTTGCGGAGCTGATGGGCAGGCTGGGGTAGGCGCGCTCGCTGCTTGAGGCGATTTCGGAGCGGATTTGGAAGGTGAGAATCTGGGTGAACTGTTAGCTATCGGGCGAGGTCGTTATAGAAAGGGACGCTAGTCAAGGCATACCTCTGAGAAGACGGCGTACTCCTCGCTTGGCACGTCGCGGCTCTTGAGGGCGTTCCAGACACGGTCGTAGCTTCCCTCCATCAACCATCTCTCGAGACGGATGGGGTATCCGAGGTACCTGTCACCCTCGACGGCGCTGCTGTCGCCGCCGCCCTCGCGGTTGGCCAGGCTCTCGAGCTCTGAGTGGAACTCGGCGTAGCGGCCCTGGGTGAGGAGAAGGAGGAGGTAGAGGCCGGTGACCTTGTTCTGTTCGGGAGGGTTGGGCTGGAGGATGTTTGAGGGCAGCTCGTAGAAGGGCTGGAGCTGCTGGACGTAGCGGGTGAAGGCGTCGGGGTTCTTTGCGCGGATGGAGGCGAGGGCGCCGAGTTCGTACGTCTCGCGGGCTAGGGCGAGGAGGTCGGGGGAAGATTTGGCGGAGGGGGTCAGGGCGTTAAGCTGGAGGAGGTGGAGCTTTGCCTTTGAGAGAAGGGCGGAAGATTCGGTGAAGGGGAGGGAGGAGCCCTTTTGGCGGAGGGTGGTGATGATTTGTTGGAGGTTGCGGTCGGCCATTTTGGCGGGGTGTTCTTTGGGGGGCGAGGGCTGCTTGCTCTGTTCCGGAGAGGATTTTGTCCCCGGTTGGCTGGGGATTTCGATTTGAATGGAGAGATATCGTCGGGAGTTGGAGACTGGCTGGCAATTGCGGGTGGAGGTGGTGGGAGATGCAGTTGTTGTGATGGTGATGATGTGTATTCAGATGCACTCGGATTGGATTGCTGGGGTGTCTGGCTCAGCAGGCTGAGAGAGGCTGACGAAAGGTGCCGTCAAGCTGGAAGGTGCCGTGCTGGGGTCTGGCCAGAATGCACTAGCCCTTTTGAGAATAGACTGAGGGAAGCTTGCCTGCTGAGGCCGGGACCTGAAGGGGTTCACGTGCCGCGGAACTTCAAGGCTCCGATATCCGTCCTTGTGGGGTCAGGTCGGGTCTGGCAGTGTACCTAGGTCCCGTCGGGTCCAGGCCCTCGCTCGATGCCCAGCCAGGTAGAGCTCGGGAGCTTCCACAGGCTTACGATGAGCTCTTGCGAAGAGACACTGGGCTCACTTCCTGGGCCATTGAAGATGCATGTTGCGAAGTGCAGCTGGATCCAGCCGTCCTTCTATTGCGATGTCCTATTGGTGCTCGACTTGGTTTTGCATCACTCTCCTCAGTCTCTAATCCAGCCAGCGCATGAAAGCCAATGCAATCTATCCGAGCTATGTAAGGACGGTTCACTGTCATTGCCCCGTGACCAGCTTCAAGCGCAGTCGCTCGCTTTAGTCTTACCGACGGGTTGAACAATACCGGCGGGCGATCGCTGTGGGAGCTACTCAGCCTTACGATTTGAGATCTCCACCATACTGTCGGCATGCCTAATGAGAGGGTTTGTGGATGCAAGCGGGAGAAAACCCAAGAGATTTCGCAGCAAGACACGACAACGGCTGGCGCGGAGGTCTCAGCTTCCGGCTGTCAACTTTGGGGTGCTGACAGTGGAATGTCGGGCAGCATTTGCTTGCGGTGGTGGCCACTGACGAACCAGCGACAGGGCACTGCCCAGCCCAGCAGAGGGAGGACCCGGGCTGGAAAGATGGGATGGGCTGGATTGGATGATGGCTGTGACGTCGTGACGTCGTGACGTGGGGTTCAGGGGGACTAGGATGTTTGACGGAATGTTGTAGAAGAATTGCTTGCATGTTCATGCGGCTGGTTGGATTGCCACGTAGTAGGTAGATAAACCCACGCATGAGATGGTTTATATCAAGCATAACATGAGAGCTCAACCGTTCGGAAAGGCCCCAAATAATGCAGGTACTGGGCAGCTGTGGTAGGCTCCCGCATTTGGGACCCCCCTGATTGTGATCCGTGGTCTCCCTGCGCGGATGGAATTGGGATCCTCTACAAAGTGCAGGGCCTGTTGAGGATTGGCAAAAGAAGAGAGATTTACGAGGCAGGCGCGATTTCGATTGCGATCATTCGGCCCCCAAGGGCAGGGTGGTCGGTTTGCAGAATTGAATGTCACCTCGAGCAGAAAAAGATTCTTGATGTTTCTAAGTTTGGAAACAAGGGCTCTCGACCGTTGTGGCTGAGCAGAGGGCGACGACGTCTGAAAGGACGAGAGCGCAGGATGGGGGCTTTGCTTGCGAAGTACCTGGCTTGTACCTTTGCAGGACTGCATGCTGCAGCTGAGTCGCTGTATCCATCTTTGAAAGTGATGAAGAATGAGGAAACATGCGACCTATGGCGCCGAGCTACGTCTCGTCGCAGTGATCCGTACCTGGTAAGATATGAAGGGATGGAAAGTGGATGGAATGAGACGATGAGCGTTGAATCGAGGGGGTCTTCCCTTCCCTCCCGCTCCTTAGACAGAATACCTAAGCACCTAAGGTCTAACTAAGGGTAAGGTAGGTAGGCAACGTGAGCCTCTGCATGCTGTATTACCTTACGGGCAAGGAGAAGCCTTCAACCAAAGCACCTTAGTATTAGTAGCGTCTGAGGTGTCGCGTGGCAATGCTGTGGAATCCAAGGAACTAAGGTTGGCATTGCACAAACAACCGGTATCGCATGACCTGCGCCAGCATCGCCAGGTAGGCACCATAGACAGCTTTTTGCATCCGCGTGGCTGGTTCGGTCGACTGCCCGGACTGCTGATGCTGATGCTGATGCTGATGCTGATGCTGATGCTGATGCTGATGCTGATGCTGATGCTGGTGCTGGCGCTGGCGCTGGCGCTGGTGTTGGTGGCACCTGCCTGTGCTCACCAAAGGACAGGAAGGTGCGGACTGACAAGCAAGCTGCAAAAGAACGCAAAACCATACCTACCTCTCTTCTCATACCTCATTCAAGGAGGCCTTCAGCTTTCGGTCGTTCTCGTTTTCGCATCGACCTCTCCTACGCTCATCATCTTCTGCCATCTCTCAGACTTCTCCCCAAGCCACAGTCAACCAACCATCCGCCGGCGGATCTGCCAATTACCACGCCGAGTTCCTCCCATCTCTTCAACGATACTTCGATACCTACCTTATTTCAGCTGCCGGCAGCCCCTGTCCTCGCATTCGAAAAAGCCAAATAACAAGAGATGAAAAGGCTGTTCAGATCCAAAATACCATACGCGCGGCATGGCAAGGGAAATACGCCGGCTTCCGGTCGAGATCCACAGAACAACGGCACCAAAAACACCTCGAGCGGTGGAACTCCCGCTGCACCTGGTCCGCATTCCATCTCCGGCCCGCGATTTGAGGTCTACCCACCTGTACCTGCACTCCTGCCTACACCTGGTAAGTGAAGAACGGAACTTGCCCTCTGCTTCAGCTGGTCCAGCCCTCGCTTTGGAGGCCTTGGGCCATCTAATTTCATCTCGGCCGAGGGTGCCCCCTTTAGGATGCTTTGCTGTTTGCTGCTCTCCTCTCTGATCTTCTCCCTCGGGTCCCCGGACACCTCCCGCCGACCATCATCAATCGCCCCGGAGGTATCGCTCACGGCCTGTGGCAAGCGAAATACGCACAGTCAAGCAGTCTGCCTGCACCGTCTTATGCACAGGGGCCCGTTTAACTGGACATGCTGGGCGCCATGTGCACATGCCAAACCCCCCCAAAAAGGATCATGGGTGCTGTGGTCTGCAATGGCATGCTGTCACTGGCACTGTCTGACCTGGGTTCTTGATTGAAGCCCTCGGACGAGTCACCCTGGCTGAAGACGGGATGGACGGCTGTCGAATGGTTGACGAAGGACTTTCAGCGCTTACTGCCTGCTGCTTGTACATGCCTCATCCTGGCGTCTTCTCGATTGCCTTTCGGTACCTGATCACCACAGCCGGCTACTCCCTGCTCCGCCCACCGCAAAGTACAGACGAGGTACACTTGGGACTTTCGGTCTACCTGCAGCAGAATGGAAGCGCATCCCCAAAGCCAATGGACGCAGCACGCAAACCACAGCAAGCTGCGGCGTGCTAGCGTGCCTCTGGCACAGCGCCAGCTGCGTGCTGCTAAATGTTCTGCTGCTGCTGCGGCTTGCATGGTGGAGCAGCATCTCATAGCGAACCCCTCCTTCTCTATAACTGCCCCGGTCAGTCCCGCTCCTGGAACAATGATGGGGGGCCCAGAGACGATTCCCCCTCCTCCTCCTGACCCTGACCAAAAAGAAGAGAAATGCGACACTGGCACCTGGCACATTCATCCGGACGAGCTCCAATGTTTCACTAGCCAGACTGGGCACAAAAAAGGGGACGCGGACAACAACTCTGCACGCTAAAAAGAAAGGGCCCGCCGTCGCGATTTCCGATGCTTTGAGCTTCGTCCCTCTCCACCCCGCTTCCGGACGCCCTCAGTTCAGTGTCATTCCTTCGAAACCAAGGACTGAGAGAAAGCAGACCGAGAGAAAGACTGTCGCAGACACAGCAAGCAGGAAGCCCCCGGCAGCCGAGAGAACCACAGAGAACCAGAAACACAGGGTGTCAAAGTACACACAGAGATCGGACTGCACGTTCCCGATTCTCTTTTTTCGCCGTCAACATATTGCAGACAGCCACCACCACACCTACACCTGGCTTCTCAGTCAACCCGAGCCTCTTATTCCTTTTTCGCCTATTTCCCCGTCCAATTCTCGCCCCTACCGCACCCTGGCCAGGGAGTTTGGCTTAGAGAAGAGAGACTGTCAGACGACAACCCAGCAGCACCCAGCACAAAAGTAAATAAAAATACAGCACTTTTGGGGGCTCCAGCAAGCGGCCGGCCACAGCAGAGTCAGCACAGCACAGCAGAGCAGCCCAACCTTACAGGCGCGGGAGGGGAAAAAAAGCTGGCGGTGGCTCCAACCTAAACGTCATTCGACCCCCGCTGACTGATTACCTCCTATTTATGCAGCTGCACCTCAGCCCAAAGGCACAACTGACGAGATGTCAAACTTCGGCGCAACTTTCGTTCCTGGAGGGTTCGACGACTACTACATGCCCGAGGTCGTTGCACCTTCGCCTCAGCGGTACGCGTATTCCCTCATTTTAATCTCAGGCGGATCTATCATGGGTCCCTCCTGACTGCCCGCTGGATCTGGCGATGGGCCCCCCTCCCCATCCTAACCCGCGCCGCCTTGTCTTTGTCCCTTTTTCCTCAGCCTGATTGCTGACACAAGTCGTCTCTACAGTGTAACGCCCCAGGTCCCTCAGAACATGCAAAACGACCTTCAGCGCATGGAACTTGAAGCCCGCGAAGTCGACCCGAACCGCCGAGACCCCAACATCCAGAACCGCCACGGCCGCGAGCCGTCCTTGTCCTCCTACTCCAAGCCCACCGACCCCGGTGCGCCTGCCCTACCTCCCAAGGGCTACACCAACCCGTCCGCTGCCGCGCCCTCGTCCGACGACTTCAAGCCGTTCCACGAGAATAGCGCAAGCGGCAATCATCATACCATGCGGCCCAGCGCGGCCCCTTCCTTCTCCCCTTTCCCCAAGGTGAAGGGCGACAACATACCCCCCACAGATGAGGAGAAAGAGGAGATCCTGTGGAACGCCCGCGAGCATGTACTGCACTCCAACAATGTCTCCATGCAGCTTTCCTGGGCTCGTGACACCTTGGCCTGGGCTGAGATTGTTGCTGAGGCCAGGTCCAAGGACCCGGAGAGCGGTCGTCAAACACCAAAGGTTGAGCACGAACTGCGCACCGATGCACTCAACATTGTCGAATACCTGGTTGGTCAAGAGCATCCCGAGGCGCTCTTTATGAAGGCAAAGTGGCTCGAGTTTGGCAAGTTTGGCTGCCGTCCCGACAAGAGAGATGCCTACTCAAAGTACACGCGCGCTGCAGAGCTTGGCTACGCGCGTGCCGAGTACCGGCTGGGCATGTTGTTCGAGAACTCCAACGACTATAGCAAGGCCGTTGAGCACTACTACCTAGGTCTGAGGCTCAAGGACTCGGCGGCTATGTACCGCTTGGGTATGATGAGCCTGTTGGGTCAGCACAATCACCCGAAGGACTACCAGCGCGGCTTGGACCTTATTAGGGAAGCTGCAGACCTCTCTGACGAGGATGCGCCTCAGGGATCATACGTCTACGGCATGCTCCTTGCAAAGGACTTGCCCGACATTGAGGTTCCTGACGCGTTGCTTCCCGTTGACCTGCCGCTGGCCAAGATGTACGTCGAGAAGGCGGCCTACCTCGGATTTGCCAAGGCGCAGCTTAAGATGGGCCAGGCTTACGAGCTTTGCCAACTGAGCTGTGATTTCAACCCTGCCTATTCGATTCATTACTACGGTTTGGCAGCTCAACAGGGTCAACCTGAGGCTGCGCTTGGCGTCAGTCGTTGGTTCCTGTTTGGATACGAGGGCATCTTCAGTAAGAATGAGCAGCTCGCCTTCAAGTACGCTCAGGATGCGGCCACCGCGAAGCTTCCCACGGGCGAGTTCGCCATGGGCTACTACTACGAAATCGGTGTCTACGTTCCCAAAGATCTGCGTCAAGCCAGGTTCTGGTATGAGGCCGCTGCAGACCACGGCAATAAGGATGCCGTCGGAAGACTCGACGCCTTGGATCACTCTAAGAGCTTGACCAAAGCCGACCACGAGACGACCACTCTTACGAGAATCAAGTCGCAACACGGATCTCAGCGCGGCAAGCGACCGGACCGTTTCAAGCAGCCTCAACAACAGATGCCTACCGTCTCGGAGAGCGCACCAGTCACACCAACCGACCCCGGATATCCGACGAACACCTCCGCAAAGACGTCACCTCATCCCTCACCGAGAGCTCACCCAGCTCAAGACACCGTCGATTACCCGGATCCCTCGCGGCCTAACAGCATGGGTAATAGACCCAATGCATTTACCGTCAACCTCGATGCCAACTTGGCAATAAGACCCAAGTCTGCTGCACCATACCCTGAAGATGATAGGCCGGCGCCCCTCAACCTGAACAGACCCAAGTCAACGGCTCCTTACCCTGAAGACGATCGGCCAGGCCCGCGACCTGGAGCTGGCCCGCAGCTCTCTCCTCACTACAACACGGGAGGTCGCCCTCCAGCCGCTCCCCACTCTGATCGCCCTGGCAGTGCTTTCGGAATTCGCACTGGTCCAGGCGGCCCCCAGGGCATGGCCGGCAATGTCCGCCCATCCCAGTCAATGAACAACATGATTCCTCCTGCCGGTGCGGATCCCAGGGGCCGCCCTATGACGGGAGGATGGGATCAGTCCGGTTACCGCCAACCGAGCCCTGGTTCGGGCCCTGGGTCTCGACCCGCTACGACACAGCCCTATCCGGTGTCCCCCGGACTCCCCTCGAATCCCGCCATGAACAAGCTCACCAAGCAGAACACTCAACAGTTCGCCAAGCCCCAACCCTCACCTCCTTTCCAGCAAGGAAGCTACGGACCGAGCGACTACGGTCAACCGGCGCAGGCGCAAGCGCAACCCGGTCGAGACTACGGACCTAGAATGTCGTCCATCCCCCCTGCAGAACAATATGGCTACGGTAGACCACCCAGCGCCGCGCCGGGCGGCATGCCTCCGCGAACCGACTCGATGCCGCTCAGCCCATCTGGTCAACCCCGGCCTCAGGGTGGTCCCGGCGGCGCTCCCCGACCTTACGCTAATCGGCCGGATCTTGTCGATCAGGGCCCTCCCGGCCGCGTCGGCAGTGCACCGCCCTCTTCTCAGCCACGACCCCAGCAGAAGCCTAGCCCGGCTCCTAGTGCCCAAACGATGCCTCCCCCGAAGAAACAAGCGACAGGCCAAGGACCTGCGACTTTTGAGGAGATGGGCATCCCCAAGGGCAAGGATGATTCGGATTGCGTGAGTCTTGCCTTGTTGCTCTTGTTTAAGAATATCTGACTGACCGTGACGCAGATCGTGATGTAAATTTCTCAGATACCACAGCCACTTGACGATGAGATGCTTTCCACTTTTATACCGGGGTAGCTGAAGCGTTTCATGCATGTAGATAGCATTCCAGTCGGGCTGCATAGATGGCCAGTGGGAGTACAACGGCACCGAGAGAATTGCAATAACCCAAGAATTATAAATTTTGTCTTTCGTTAGGTTGTGAAATTTCACGCTCTCTCTCAGTTGGCCTCAGAGGCAGCGTATTGCTTAGCAAGTGGCGCAATGCAGTCCTCGAGACTGGTCCAGCCCTTCCCTCCCCCCAGCTTCTTCATCAATTCCGTCGCTCTCTCGTTGGCGATTTTGCCTACGTCGACACCGAGATCGGGGAGGTCGGCGGGGAAGTTACGGCTAGGCTGCGTTTCGCGGAAGACGGCGAGAATGTCGTTGATGTTGAAGCGGCCGGCATATGCGATGAGTCGTTCGGACTGGACGTCTGGGAAGAGCAGGGCGCCGATGTGGATGCGCGCGATATCGAGCACATCGCAGAACCATTGGGCTGGGAACATGGCGACGAATTCAGGGGAGACGTGGCCCTGCCAGAGAGACTTGAGAATTCCGACTGCGGTCGGGAAGCCCTGGTGCTCTGGAAGGAGGACTCTGCCCAAAGCGGCGTTCGGAAGAACTTTCACACAGGCCATCAGTTCTGTATTGTTAATGTCTGGGTGCTGGGATATCACTTACTCGAGTTCAATGTGAACCCGGGCTTCGCCTCAGAATACCACTTCCACAACGCCTGCTCGGCCTTTGTCTTTGCGGCGGAGTAGGCGATATAACCCCCCGCAAGACCGCCGGGCCCCTTGCCGGAGTAGGCGATGGCAACGGCTTGCTCGTTGTACGTGTCGGCGTTGACTTCGTAGGGGACGTTGGGGGTCGGCATGGCGGCGGCGCCGGAGGAGGAGGTGTAGACGAAGCGTTTGAGGGATGGGGTTGAGGCGGCGGAACGCGCGATGGAGAGGGTCGCGTCGACGTTTGGGGGCACGACGTCGTTGGGGTCCGGGTTCATGTTCGTGATTGCGATTGTGTGGATTGCGCCGTCAGCACCTGGGTCTGGGTGTTAGTGCTCTTGACTCGTCGGCAGGCGAGACGGCGAGGACTACCCTTGAGGACTTCGTCAAAAGCGCCGTTTTTGGTCACTTCGGGCACGGCGTGGAGGGTGAAGCGGCCTAGGCCGTAGGTCTTTTCGAAATGGTTTGAGAGCCAGCTGTACTTTGCGGCGTCGCGAACCGTGCCGCGGACGCGGTAGCCGGCGGCGAGGAGCTGGTCGACGATGTGGGATGCTATGAAGCCATTTGCGCCCGAGACCACGATCGTGCTATCCTTGGACAGGACGGGGTCTGAAATTGTTAGGGACGACATCGTGAGCGAGGGTGATGATGATGATGGGTGTGATGGCTGAGAGGCATGATGAGCTGAGATTCTGGGGGTTCTTGAGCGAGGATGGCTTTATAGGTTGAGGCCTCGGACATTGGAGAGGGTTCGAAAGTCCGTTGATGCTGGGCCAAGACGTTGTGGTTGTGGTTGTTGGTGTTGTCGTCGTCATTGACGATGTTGGAGAAGCGGGAGGAAGGGGTGGGCATCCCACCAGGGCCGGAGAGGATTATTTGAGCAGCGGACGGAGGCGGGGCCGGTGGGATCCGGGGGTGTGGGATGGCAAGGTATGCTTAGATTTCTTGGCTCTCGAGCATTGACTGGGTGCTGGGGGGCCGTTTGATTATACAACGTGGTCTACGGATGTCGTTGGTCTCCGTCGTGGGTATACGGAAGTCGGCGTGCTGTTGGGTTCATGCAACCGGTAAGACGGGTCCACACCCTAAGGCCGGGCGGACAGGCGATTGCGGGGCCCTGCTCCGGTCGGCGCTCCACCCTAGGCCGAGGCAGGAGAACGAATATTCAGATGAACTGCATGGCTGTTTCTGGATTTCACCAGCTTACTGCCGCAATTTGTTGGGGAAAGGACTCGAAGATGGTTTCGCGACCTGCCTGGGGCTTTTGGAGGCAATGGCACCATGGCAAAGGGCAGACGTGTTGGTCCAACTGCGCCGCTGCGGCTACCCGCATACCCTGCAGCCGCAGTCACACCTTTGCCGCCGGCACCCACCTGTCAAGATCAATTGCTGCCCAGAGCCAGAGGAGAGGGCTGAATTTTCCCTGGCTGGTGAGACGCGTTCTCCTCGTGGGAGGAAAACTAAAAATCGCGATACCACGTGGTTTTCTTCCTTGTGATATTCGGGTGCCATAGGTCGGTGCCCAAGTAATGAGTTGATCGTTGGTGTCAATGTTGGCAAGGTGACAGCCGTTTTACTCACTTTCTTTTCTTTTCCTTTCTTTTGACGGACCCCTGTACTTATCAATATCTCTCCCCGGTGGCCGCGATTGGTTGGTCCGAGCCTGGAAGCAAACAGCGTCTGCAGGATATCAAGCAGCGGTCTGAGAAAAGGGGGCAATGCCTCGTTCTCAATCTCATGTGTCTTGATGGATTCAGTCTGCATCTATCCGTCTTGGCCGTCGAGTAAGGATCCATCTGGATTTTGAGTGAATTTTCGCCATCTGACGAGTTTACATACGGCGGGGTCGACCATTTCCCGCTCCTGCTCCCCGTTGTGATCGCGCTTTTCTTCAGAAAGCCCCTGGGAGTTTGTTCTTTTGGGACTTGAAAGCGTTTTTCTCTCTTGCACGTCCACCCGACTGCCTGTAATTCACAGATGAGCATCTATCATTAGATGTGCCTTTTTGAAACTGAAAGCTCTCATATCTCGCAGTCGTTGGTGGCAGGTCAGCCACCTCGTTCTTCACCCCCACCCACCACCTCACATCACGTTTGGTTTGCACCCTCCTCACCTTCCGACCGCACCTTCCCCAGACGCACATCCTCACCTTCACCTCTGAAAAGTAAATAAACCAGCTGCCCCGTCGCGAGAGGCGGTCGACGCGTTGGCGTGTCTGCCTAGTATTTATTTACTTCACCCTCTGCTGTCAACTTTAACCTTCCCACCCACCACCCCAGCCAAGCTCCCCATCCATCACCATTGCGACAACACCGCGCCGTGAACTTTTCGCTGTTTGCACCTGCGCCACCTTCACAACTGTACAGAACCATCATCAAACCAAGCATCGTGTGTAAGTTTTCATTTTGGACCCTTCGTTTGCGTTTCACATGCTGTTACCCATGTATTTCTTTTTTTTCTTGGGCCATTTCCCCCTTGTTCTGTGCGACCTTTCATCCTGCACATGCTTCTCTACGCCTCCCCTTACCCTTTTTGATTGACACCAAATCCAGACGGCACAACAAAGGCACCATGGCAAGCGGAACTCCTGGCCATACCCAGCCGGGAATTTCGCATGGTTCTCAGAAAAAGAGAGATCGCGACCTCTATGCCGACAGCGACGACGATGAGGATTTTATCAGTGCCAAGCGACAGCGAAGTCTGATTGTCTCTTCCGGCTCGAAGCATGTCAGAATTCGCTATGGCGTTGACGAAATCAAGGGTGCTCTTCGTGGAGAGCTATTGTCTACCCCGGCCATGCAGCCGCTTGTCCAGGAGCTCATCGGAGAGATGCTTGAGATCACCCAGACAGAGAGACGTGTCTTGTGCGAAAACACTTTCTATGCGCGTACCAAGGCTGCTATGAAGAACCAGCAGGCCGATGAGCTTATTGATCTTAAGCGCTATCTTCTCGCAGAGACCTTCATTCGCATCGACAGCTGGTCTTTTAGCGCCCTGCGTGAGTGGTTCGACTTAGTCCACAGACTTGGCCTTGAGAGAGAGTTTCGAGACGTGTATTGGGAGGACAACCAGCGTGCCTACAGTGTTCAGATCGCCAAGCTTGCCAGCCATGTGAGCCCTCCCAAGATCCCTCGCAACAGGGACAACCACGTGCGCCTGTCTGCTGAATACGGAAGCAACGCCAAGGACATTGTCTCCCGCTCCGTCTTCGTCAAGGGCCGGGGCCATCCCATCATTCGGAGCGCTGTTGCTATCATGGTTTTGGCGGGACAAGAGAACCCTGAGAACAAGGACAATCGCCTAGAGAACATTGCCAGAATCTCTCAGATTTGGGCCGCATGGTGCATTGCGAAGCACGGCGAAGATGAGACCGAGCGGCAGTTCCTTGCCGCACTCATTCACGACCGCTATCGAGAGAACGACTTCATCAAAACTTGCTTTTTTTATGTCCGAGAGGAACTGGAGAAGTTGGCAATCAAAGTCGACAAGGACGAGTTCAAGAGGTGGCAGAGAATGCACTGGAGATGCCATCTCATCTCCATGTCCGAGTACCGAAGCCGACCAGTGGCTCTCAGGATCAACGAGGTGCCCAGCAAGGATGCACGCAAGGCGTCGGTCTCTCGTGACGATGAGAGCAGCCTCAATGCTGCCATTGGATCCATCAAGCTGAAGGCGACCACGAAGAAGGCTGCTACGGCCATCGCCAAGAACCTCCAAGCCCAGGAGTCGCCCGTCGAGACTGACAAGAAACCCGTCGTTCGAAAGAAGCTGAAGGTGGTTTCCAAGATTCAACCTGAGGAGACCTCCCAGTCCAATTCCCAGGCCCCGGTAGCTTCGATCGCTCCGCAGGTTCAACTCCCGCCGCAATTTCTCCCTCAGTCCTCATCTACGACCGCCTCCCCATCGCCGCTGCCTTCGCCAGGCCCCTTCTTGGGCCTTACCCACACCCAAATTAACGGAATGCTTGGTTTCCTCATGAAGGTGTTCAATGCTTCTGAGAGCAATGAGGGGGTGAATGAGAAGCAGTGCGCGGTGGACCACCAAGCCGTTCCGACGAAGCTAGACGAAGACGTCCTTGAGAGAATCAGCGCCTTGGAGGATAGACTCAACGCGTTTTCAGAGTTCTCTGAGAACATCATCGATGCCGTTCAGACGCTTGGTGACCGCCATGCTCACTTGGATGATACCCAGAAGTCGATGGACAAGAAACAGAATGGCATGCAGGAGTCTACGGACAACGAGTTTCGCTCCATTACTAAGAAGCAGACGGCCCTGGCTCAGAGACAGTCGTCGATGGACGGTGAGCTTGAAGCCTTGACTCGCAGGCAGGTTGGAACCCACGATGAACTTGAAACCGTCGCGGATAGACTAGCTTCCCTGGAGTCAATCACAAAGCAGAGACTCACGGAGCAGGATAGAAGCCTGAAGCAGCGAATCTTTGAACAAGAACGAACCATCAACCAGCTTCAGCAAGATGTCGATCTTTTGATAGAAAAGCAGAACCCAAACCCCCGCAAGCGCCCTTTCGACTCTCCTCGCAACGAGTCTCCTCACGCTCCTAAGGGTCCGTCAGCTATGATGAGACAGGGCCCGGGATACCACGAGAAGACTTCCAAGAGATTCGACCGACGCTGAGCACATCGACGGGCGAAAGGTAACGGAACGAGCATAGTGGGCGTCGACGACGACAACAACGTCCCATGAATGGCAATGAATGCCGATTGCGGATGCCAAAGATGATGATGGCGGATGATAAGTGAAGGATGATACCGGGGATATCGACAGTACTCGGTTGGAAGTGGGCGATACGAGACGAATTGCTTTTTGATCATGATGGCATAGCAAAGGATCGTGGTGGATATACCCGTGTAGGATTTTATTCTAAAAAGGGGATTGGCTGAAGGAGTTTGGCGGATACGTATGTGCATCGATGGATTTGCTCACTTGATTCAGGGAGAGTCAAGTCTCTTTTTACGTTTTGGGATGGTCAAGGGACGATTGTATGGAGAAAGGCCGTGGCATAGGGTCGCCGCGTTAGATAGCAAAAGTTTAGATAAAGCCATTCTCCTTCTCTGATGCCTGTTTGAACCGTCATCCGTCGTCGTCCTTTGGATTTCAGTTGGACAATGTAAAACTGAATTTGATGGATGTCTCTCAAACTCATTGGCCCCTCGGCGGTCTGATAACGACGACCTCGCCGAACCCCTTCAACTCAAAATCCCCATCTCCAGACGGAACAACTAAAGTCTTTCCCTTGTCTACATCCAACGTCTTCTCCCCAGCAACCCACATTTCTAATGCTCCTTCGCAAACGACCAAAACAGCAAACCCACTACTTGCTGCTTCAAGTAATAAGGACTACGATACACAAAACAAGGCCAACATGAGGCCAAGTCTCAGAGCCTGGTAATCTATTAGATTCGACAATGGAGACTGATCAACGGGGCCGCACGTTCAAAGATTTGCGAAGTACGAAGTAGACCAAGGAGCGGTCAGTTATCATGATCGGAATTCTGTTATAAATCTCGAGCCCAAGTGCGAACAACGGATTTCTGTCTTCATTCTCCCACACACAGAGATACTACTGTTCACTTTGCGCCCCAACGACATATCGAAACATACTCTCCCACAACACATCACTATGAAGCTTTCACAGGGACTCATCGCTGCCTCTTTGGCTGTCGGTATTATGGCAGGGTGCCGACGGGCACCCGAACTGTGCAAGTCAGACGTTGGTCCTATCTCACGAGGCCTGACAACCGGATGGGTTTGCAGTCTTCCGGAAGATATGCCCTGCCAAACGACTTGTGAGATTACTGGCGAGAGGCAACGATCCGAGCCTGGTGTGGTCGGATGGGAAACGATGAAGTGCTGCAAGCCGCAGACCGACTGTAAGGCAGTCATAAACCTAAAAAGATCCATAATAGGAATGCTGACAAACACGTGCTCTGAAGGTTGAGCGGAGTTCAGGCTACCTAGCTAGGACACAACCTCCCATTGATGGGATCAATATCACCATCGTTGAGAGCACCGGGGTATGGAGAAGCCTTGCGGTCTGCAGGGCTGCGCGTCTACTGACGAAAGTAAGAGGCATGCTCCGGGAGGAGACAAAACACTGCTTGGATGATACCTATTTTTAAGCCATATTTAAGATCAACGTTCTTCGCAAGACGACCCGAATCAAAACCTCTTTGATTTCTTAAGTGACCTCGATAAAATGGGGCATGGTCTGAATTCAGATATTTATCTTTTTGCACAGCTGTGTGTATACAATGGTACACCTCTCCGTAACACTGTCGTGGTACCTGATGCGATATCCTGTACGTTGAGGTGATTATGAGCATTTGCGAAACCGTTGCCCCATAATAGTGAAGGGACGCACTGCTAGCGTGGAGGGAGCGCGTGCGTCGTCCTTCCTCTTCAGTGGTTTTGAGGAAGGATGTCGGCTTTGTCCCATACGCTGAGTGTGATGCTGCTAATTTCAGATTTGATGAAGTGATCTGTGCCCGTTTCGTAGGCCGACTCGAAAGACACCAACCCAGTCCTTTCACCCTCGGAAAGGGCGAGTGTTGCGTTACTAATACGAGACAATTCGGTTCATGTGCTGCCCGATCTGGGAAAGTTTCCCCGAAGCCACGGGGTCCCGACTGGAGTGGAACCCCCGCATTCCGGCACCGGCGGTCACCTAGCGTGGCAGCATTTCCAGATTTTGAGGTGTCCTCAGACCTCGACAAATATCTGCGGGCGCAAAGAAACATATTTTTTTTCATGACTTAATATCTCAAATAACGATACGCATAAGCACTATGAGTTCTGGGACTCGGAGGAGTCCACCGCACCGATAGTGAAAGAATCCAGACTGGCTGTGCAGACCCCTTCACGTAGCAGAGAGAATCAAACCCTCATAGCCAACTCAGACAACCGATATCATCACATACGACCATACCCATTGGAGAACTCGGGATCCCGTCCGCTCTCCCATAGATAAGCCAATGAGGGCTGGAGTAGTAGTCGGGTCGGTGACGACCGGCGAATGCCCGGTGTTGTATGTTTTTTGCCATTCCATGCTTTTTTTTTTTTTTTGCCTAGACTATGTGAGCTACGATTCTCTAAACTTCGTTTCGCCTAGGGAAGAGATCTTGACGACACGATGGATTAGAAGGAGTCTTTGGATGTAGACTCAACAGTTCACAGAATGGTTTGATGCCATTTTAATGACTAATGACGCTGTTTGTTTAAAGACTGCTGGTGTCGCTAACATGTGACCTGTCACTTGAGGATCTGTTGAGTAGCCATGTCAGGGAGCAATTCTACTATACGATACGCTGATGAAGTTCATTTCGTTAAGCTACCATGTTGGATAGCTTCACCATAGAATCTCTCAAGCGTCTGGCATAGAGCAGGACAAATCAAGCCTGACTCGACTTATGCTTTGAATATGCCGTACTTAGCTCGGCATCGTGAATCACCCGTACCACCCACATACTGGCAAGACTCTCGAAACTTGCAGTTATCGAAAGCCGAGTACCCTGTGAACCAATTGCCACTAAAGTGCTTGCATTCAAGAAATGGCTGGTCTTTGATGCGAGTGTAGCCAAAGTCGCACACCTTGCCGGTGATCTCATCGTTTGTGGTGCCATCTGCATTCAAGCAGGCGCAGTACTTATAGTGGTCGCAAGCTCGAGTAGTAAATGCGAAAGCGAGAACGGAGAGAACAAATGTTGCCTTCATGGTGATGTAATAAGGCTGCGGCAGCGACGGTTAGCTGGGTGCTCCTTGCGTATGAGATGGGCCGAGTGGCAGTACTGACTAAAGACTGTGTGATGAGCTTGTGCAGTTTTAGTTCCGACTTGTAGGTAGAAGTCGGACGGGCTTGCGATGTGTTTGCGAATCGCTGATGGTTTTATAAAGTCGCCCTTTCGTCTTCAAGGAGCAAAAATTTCAACTGCAATTGCATTGTTGACGGTATCGCCGACTTCAGCCACCGCGCTTCATCGCGCCCTATGCCAGATTGTGGGTATTGTGACTCTTGGCGTAGTGTATATTCCCCTTTTGACTGACTCAACTCAGTATCAATCAGACTTGTGGGTTAGCCTTCATTTCAGCAGCCGCAGGGAGAGGTGCATCACTTTAGAAGCAACTACTTGCCAAGAGTGCCAAGAGTGTTAAGATTCTGACCGCGTACCTAACCGCGTATCTCACTAGTCATGAACACTGGGTTGCGCCTCGATTTACTAAGCGGTTAAGCCGATCTTGATTCTCATTCGTTGTTACGACCCCGTACGCAATACAAGAGCAGCGGCCGTGCGGTGCTCAGAGTCAGCCACGCTCTCGGTCTCGGATTTGCCCCATATCTAGATATCATATCAGCCGTTTGTCTTTGGCAATCTCGTACTTGGCTATTTTTCGCATCATCGCGAGAAATCTGAGGTCGCATGGTCATGCGTGCAGCAGTCCGACTGCATGATAGGATAGCCTTACAGCTAGTTGCTTCGTGGCCGCATCATTGGCAATCGAAGCATTCATTGCGGCAACGCCGGCAGTATCATTCGCATCGAGAAAATTGGCCTTTACAGATGACAAAAGAACCCAAGATGCCACCATCGCATTCATGAGCATTTCTGTGAAGAGTTGATATAACTTCGCCCTGTGCGTGCTTTTGTCCCGGATAGTATTTGTTGGGTAGAGAGTTGGTCATAAGAATGTGCTGCTACAAAACACGCGTCCGTCCAACGTAAAGAATTTTACACGTCTGCTTCGACAGTAACGAGAGAAGGGCCGTGTGTGGTATTCGCCACGGTACGACACGGGGGCGGGGGGCCGGAGTGTCGCTGGTGGGGCCGCGGATAGGGCGTTGTAGCCGGGAACTGGTTGTTGCATATCCTGCGATATATTTAGAGATCTGCGCGAACTAAACTTGGTAATGAAGCACAGGCTCGAATTTCCCACAAGACGTCTGCCTTCCATTATCAGGGGACCTCGCCGACGTGGCTCTTGGCGCATGTAGTTGTTCAGGCCACTCCTGAGCTCAATCATAGCCCTCGGAGGCAGCCGGAGACTACGCGCAACTTACGTTACCCAGAACTCACTATTATCTACTCACACGAAACCTTGCCAGAGACTGCGCAGATTACATGAAAATTCTGCCAGGCCTGGTCTATGCGCCGTTCACCAGCACCTGTCGTAATGCCATCCACGATTCCAATACCAGACCACATTGGACCATGCGTTCAATCGGCATCGCCTGTAAGGAGCCATCTTCTTTCAAGGAGTCCTGGCTTGCTATGATGCAGTGGTCACGTATTGTCCGAATGTCCGGCGCCTAATCCGAAGGAAATTTATTCAGATCCTTTACGCCAATAATGCTATCTCCAGGGCGCACTTTGCAAGACTTACGTTAGTCCTGTGTCCTTATTTGAATTCAAAGTCGCAAGTAGCATCCTTAATTTACGAGCGAATTGCCACTTGAGGGTGCCAGAGCCTGCTCCTTGGTCTCTTCTTTATCGCCTCGATTGGTTTCAGCGAGCCGTCTCTTTCTTTTTGGGAGATCATTGGTCACGAGTCAACCGCGAAGAAGTCATGTTATGCCACAAAAGGTTTGGGTGTATCACCTATTGCTGAAGCCTGATGAGCTAAAGTTGAGTTTGCGACCAAAATCTACACATCAGACAAGTAATTCTGCAATGCATCTACCGGAAGCTCCTTGCCAACGTAATTCGGCACCCGCTCAAACATCTCCCAGGACGTGTGCTTGAGGAGATGGATCTGGTCCCTTACCCATGCTTCTACCTCCTCTTGGCTTGGCATCTCGCCCTCGGCATCACGCTCATTGACTCGCTTGATAGCCAGGTCGCACCGCTCTCGAAGTCGCCAGAGCTTCTGCGCCATGATAGTATTCCTTCCCTTGACAAGGCTGTCGCAGCGCAGATTGAAACTCCTCAGCGACGTAGCCGTGTCGTCCGCGTCAGGATCGAGGAAGTCATAAGAGTTGACCAAGCTCAGACGCTCACCGCAGTTGCGCACTCGTATGGCCGAGTGCTCGAGATATCCGCCCGTCATCATGACAGCGCCGCCGACGGAAGCTCCTCTCACCTTCTTCATTCGCCCGTCGCCCATCTTGATGACCGTCTCGCCGCCGAGCATAGTAGAGGTATCGCTGAGCATGAGAACAATCACGACGGGTGCCATGTCTTTGTGCCACATGTCGAGGACCTCGTCTTCATCCAGATCTCCTTCAGAGGCCAAGTTGGCCGCAAGAGGCTTAGGCTTCATCGGCTCCTCGGGAAGCTCGTAAGGGCTGCTGACTCCGCCGCCGTCTCCTAGCTGCACGTTGATGTAGCCCAAGGCGACCTCACCGCTCTGAAGTCTTAAGGCATGCCCGTAGGCGCTGTTGACTGCGGCTTGGGTGACGGGATGATTCCATGCTTGCTTCAAGAAGACACCATCCTGTTGGAAATATCAGAAACACGACCTTCTGTGATGTCTCATTCGGTGGTAATCTTGGAAAATACATACCCCCTTGGAGTCGCCGTACCCACGGATAATACAGTACTCCTTCTCTCCGTACGTCTTCATATATTGATCCAAAAACTCGCGTCTGAAGGCCTCTCGGCGAATCATCCGGATGCCCTCCTCTGAGAAGAGGCGGAAAGGCTCCGTGTGGCACATGTCAGGACATCCCTTCGGCACCGGGAGTCCGAGGTCTGTAAAGGTGTGGCGGCGGGTAGGAGGTTTGTAATCAAGATGAATGGCGGGGTCAAATGGGGGGATATACAGCTCCGCTTCGATCTGCTCTTGTGTCATGGGCATCGCCTTGGCGAGCGGATCTGGGCAGCTGAGTGTCACGGTGGCCATTTTGACGATTCGAAGTGCTGCTAGTTAGGATGTAGTGCAAGAGACTGCTGAAGAAACGTTTGATAATTGCCAAAGTTGATGGGCTCATACATAGGAAAGAGAGGGTTCCGTCGTCAATTTAAAGTTTCGAACTCAGCTGATCTTCACAGCTGACGATGAAGTATCACAGGCTTCGAGAGGACCCAAGAGAGGACAGCCGTCTTTGGTCCAATTACAGGCCGAACGAATAGAAATACCTATAAGGGAGTTTAGACAGAATAACCTAGTCGTGAAAGGCATCCGAATAGAGCTTATCGTCTCGAAGTGTTGTCGTGTGATTCAGTCAGAGGGTGTATCATCACGTCCTCCAAGGACGCAAAGGTACATGTGGCCCGCATCGATCGACCGCAGCAAGGAAGATGTCCCGGTACAAACTCTGGCAAGATCCAAATTCATTGGTACAGCGTGTGCTTCGTGTATTACTGGCAATTCTATCCTTTTCCAGGATGAGATGCCGGTATACTGTCTCACCGCGAGACGATCTATCAGTTTGCTGGGCGAGTAGAAAGACTCTCTCCAGCTCCTGAGCTTATCTTCTGCATGTGCACTAACGCATCTCACGGCAACCAACGTCACAACCCCAAGATAGGCTCAGAAATCCTTGTCGACTACGGCAAGGTAGGCAACAGGCCTCGTGCCGTCGAACCGGCCATACTTCGTAAGTCCTTCACCCTGACTACGATTTGGTTGCGCGGATCGCGCATGATGTAGGACAATACGAAGGGGCTATTTATTTGCTGACCTTGAATAGCCCAAATAAATCTCCGATATTACTCCGCACGAAAAGGCATGCCCCGGGGAAAGATACGTTTACCGGGGCTCCGAAAGCGGCCCCACAACAAGAGGGCCGATATCTCTCTTGATAACAAAACCAATCACTTCTCCGCATCACTCATTGTCATCTCTGGGCATCTTCTCATGTACATGGCGAGCATATATTTAACAAGTGAGTTACTCCGATTACGGCTTGAATGATTTAATGAACCACCTCATGACCATTTGCTTTAGAAAATGAAGCATCACGTCGTTTGTCTGGACGCCGCAGAGGCTACCTTCCCGGATTTCGATTTCCCGCATACACGCAGTCTTTATGAACGCACACAGCCACACGAGGTCGCAGAGCGTATCAAAAATGCAACGATTGTCGTCACCAGCGTCGTGCCGATAACTCCGAATGACCTGGCCCATGCATGTCATCTGCAATGCGTTGCTGTCGCCGCGACCGGTTTTGAGTGGCTTGACCGCGCTGCATTTGTCGAAAGACGCATCACCGTCTTCAACTGCCCGCAAAGCAACGTTGAAGCCGTTGGGGAACATTTCCTGACGCTTTACTTCTCCGCCCGCCGAAAGGTTGTTGAGGTTCATGCTGCGATTACGAGTCCGGAGAAGGAGTGGATTCGAGAGGGCTCTTTGACGCCTCGGTGGACACAGGGGCCGCCTTTGAGTTGCGAACAAGAGGTCCTAGGGATCATCGGATACGGAGCTCTCGGGAAGAGAATCGAAACTTTGGCGAGGGCCCTTGGCTTTGGCAAGGTCTTGATTGCGGATCGCAAGGGCGAAAGCAAACCCCGCGAAGGAAGAGCCTCTTTTGACGATCTCATCAAGAGAGCTACTACTATTGTGGTTTGCTGCCCTAAGGACCCAGAAACTATGTCCCTGATCTCGGCCTCGGAGTTTCATTCAATGAGAAAGGAGGCGCTTCTTGTGAACCTTGCCAGAGGTGGCGTTGTTGACGAGCAGGCACTAGCAACTGCGTTGAAGGAGGAGAGAATTTTCGGAGCCGCTGTGGATGTTTTCGAGACGGAACCCGGTGGTGTGGGAACTACCCCTCTTATCCCAGATATTCTAAACGGGGAGACAGCCGTGCCGAACCTGACTTTAAGCAGTCATGTTGCGTGGTTCTCACAGAAAACCATCAAAAACCTGCAAGATATGCTTAAACTCGGTGTCGAGAGCTTCGTTGAGGAAACCATCGACGAAGACCGCTGTAAGCGTCTACTGGTAATCCAAAAGGGAGAGTTGAGGAAGTAAGACAGGCTGTCCGTGGACAAAGCGATAGAGAAATACAGCCAAGACGATCGGCCAGGTGGCTCTACCATTGCGCACAGATGAGATATTTTTATCTTTTCTTGCGACTGCATCTCACTTGTGACCAACTCAAACAGATCTGAAGTGGCCAAGGCCAAAGAAACATGCATGATCAAAGCCGAGCTTTCCGTACCCAAGAGTTGACGATAACGTAAAGTGAAGTCAACGTATCCTCTCCCCCCAGGATTTATCACTCCATGTCTCCAATGGCGGGGCTTATCGTACATACGTGCTGATCAATCGAAGATGTTGATTAGAAGCTGGCAGCCCTACATTATGTCATATCCTAGCCTGTGCAAGACGCCCATCTCTGGCGTGAAGGTTCAAGTCGTTAGAACCGGAGAGGCGATTTCATACTAAGCATACGATGTCAGCGGCCAAACATATCAACGCTTATTGAAGGGGAACATAAACACATATCTACGGGCGAATCCCCGTGAATTCGCTCTTTTGTGAATTTGATGGCCAGAGTCGAAGGCTTGGTACATGTTCTTCCTCAACGGCTTCGGGTGAGTAGAACCATGACTACCAAGCTCCTGATCCCGTGTGACTTGCTTTTGACACTCAGAATACAGATATGCCGTTGACTCGATGAAATCCCTCTTTCAGTCTGGTATCGCAACTCAGGCGTTCCGCGAGTTTAGAGAACATGGATATCCCAACGGCCTGACGATCGCTAGCTACGTTGGAATGCTACTCGGCGCGGTATTCTAGGGCTTCGGCGCCGACATCATTGGACGAGGACACGCTTTCAATGTTTCCCTTCTTGTATGTTCAGTCAGTTGCATTATAGCCGGCGCCATGCCAAATTGGAAATTCCTGGGATTCTTGCTTCGGCGCCTGTGGCAGTCTCATCATGGACACGGCCGTCTTCCTGGAGTACCTTCCAAGCAGCAAGCAGTGGCCTCTCACCGCTCTGGCTTGTTGGTGGGGGGGTCATTCACGCAGTCGCTGGCTTCCTGGGCTGGGGCTTCTTGATTTCAAACCCATGGAACTGCTCCGATGCTGCAAGTTGCACCAAGGCTAACAACTGGGGATGGCGGTATACCATGTTCACCGGCGGCGCCCTTGTCTTTGTAATGTCCGTGCTTCGGGTGACTGTCATCAAAGTGAAGGAAACTCCAAAGTGTCTGCTTGGTGTCGGCGATGAGTCGCCGTCGTAACGACTTTCCAGTACTTGGCTACAACGTACAACCGGCCATGCCCCTTGACCAAGGCAGATCCTGCGGCTTGCGGAACAGTCATCTCTGCCCATAGCAAGAAACGGTTTTCTGTTGGCGAGACCTTGCTGCACATCCGAGGCTTTTTCAGCAACAAGAAGATGAGCTCCTCGACGACTGGCATTTTCCTGTCTTGGACCCAAATAGGCCTGGCCTATCCAACGTTTTACGTTTTTCTTCCGTGAGTGGCAGCGTTTCTATCTCCGATTGATGTCTTGAAAGAGACTTGCTGACGATCATCAGGACATACCTTGCAACCAAAGGCGTCATCTTCCACCGAACGCACTTCGAAAGGTGGCGCAATTATGCCCTCACCAACATCAGTGGGATACCTGGTCCTATTGTCGCCGGTTTCATGTGTAACACGAAGCTTGGGCGCAAATACACTATGGCTATCGGTGCGATGATCACGACGGCCTTTTTCTCCGCCTACACGGCTGTGCAGACCTCCATGCAAGACTTGACGCTGACTTGCGTCATTGCCTTCTGCATCAACATTTACTACGGAACTCTCTAAGCATATACGCCCGAGGTTCTTCCTAGCGCCCGTAGGGCAATTGCGAGCGGCATTGCTGTTGCGTGCAATAGGATCATGGGAATCATATCTGCGGTGGTTGCCAGCGAGGGTAATACGGGCACTCCGGTACCACTGTACGTTTGGCAGCTCTGTTTGTTGGCATGGCTGGAGTGTCAGTGTTGTTCCCGTACGAGCCGTATGGCCGTAGGAGCTCTTGATGGACCTTGCCTAGTGGAGGATCTGAACCGAGATAATTACATGGCCCGAATCACACTAAGAGGATCTTTTCTTTTGGTGGCATATTGCGGGTATTCAGATTTGTGGTGTTTTCGGATAAGTCATGTCATAATTCGACTGACACAGTACGTACTCCAGAGCCCTACCTAGGTGGGTGGTCAACTGGCCTCTTCAATTTTTGCATTACATCAATTCTGTCACTTCAAACAAGCGAACTGTCGTGCATCGGCGGCTACCATGCAATTGTGGGTTCGACCCTGGCCCTTGGCCTCGCTCAGTGACCAATCTCCGGCGTGCTGCTCTTAAAGAAGAACAGGATCAGACCATAATAGCATCCTTCATGCACGTTGGTGCACGTCGAAAAACACATATTGCTTCCGCTGTCTCCGCGCAGAGACGGAATCTGCCGCTGATGTGTACGAAGAACCAACACAATCCTCATCGATCCCCGAGCCCCAAGTTTGACCCTTCTTTCTCCTCACTTCTTTCCAGAGTCTCAACAGTCTGTCATAGTTCCTATCCTCGTTCAAGTTCAAATTCATCAGCGACTGGCGCTGTACGGGCACGCGAGGCTGCCATCAAAAACAGTGCTTCATCAAGCAACAATTTGGTTCGGCTTTCGCAGTCCAATAATATGTCTGTCGATGCCCCAGCTGCCCGACACCCTGTCGGGGCCATCGAAGTTGCGGAAGGGCCTGTCGACGATTCGGAGTTTGAACCGATTGAGTGGGATGCCTCCTCCGCTGATTCAGCTTCCTTGACGTCCAGTATCCATTCTCATCAGTTCGAGTTTGGACGTCGCTATCACAATTATCGTCATGGAAGATACCCACTGCCAAACGACGAGAGAGAGGCAAATAGGGAGGATATGAAGCATGCGATGATGCTTGAACTGACGGTTCGTTTGTCGCATTTCCTCCAAGCCCTTTATGTTAAAGTCTAATCGCAACATAGGATGGCAAGCTGTTCTACTCCCCGATTGGAGAAAACCCTCACAAGATCATTGATGTTGGTACCGGCACTGGTGAGTGATCTTGGCAGGAAAGCACTTGATGCGACGATCACTGACGACTTTGGAAGGTATCTGGGCAATCGAAGGCATGTTGACACAACTTTGTGACACTCATTTGGGAATTGTTTAAGTGAAGGAACGAGGCTGACATTTCTTTAATCTAGTCGCGGATGCATTCCCTGCTGCAGAGATCTTAGGCATTGATCTGTCTCCGATGCAGCCGACATGGATTCCCCCAAACGTCAAATTTCTTGTTGACGATGCTGAAGACGACTGGCTCAGCGGCGATAACTTTGACTTCGTTCATCTTCGATATATGATTAGTTTCCTAAAGAATATTGATAAATTTATCGGTCAAGCATACAAGTAGGTGTTTAACTCGAAAGCTCACTGAGATATATCACTAACCAGACTAAGTCATATGAAGCCTGGGGCCTGGATTGAGTTTCAAGAGCTTCACATGTATCCACACTGTGATGATGGTACTGCAGGGGACAATTGCCAGCTCACTGAGTTCTTTGACATTGTTGTATCGTCGTTTCTCCGCTTTGGAGCCAACTTTCACAAGGCAAGAGACTTCAGACATCACCTTGAAGGGGCAGGTTTCAAGGAAATTCGTTGCGAAGTCAAGAAGGTGCCCATCGGAACTTGGGCAAAAGACGAGATTCTAAGATTGTGTGGCCTGTATCTCAAGAATGCCATTAAAGACGTCTTACCAGCTATGCAAAAGCCGTTTGAGGCGAACGGGCTTTCGCCAGTGGAGACGGAGGTTTGGAACGCGATTGCAAGGAAGGAGATTGAGGACAACAGCAAGCATCGATACTTTAACTTCTACTTCTGGTACGCTCAGAAACCGGAGGATGCGCCCGAACGGGATGGTGGACCGGATTCCTCCGGAGGCGAGGAGGCTTGAAAAGACTTTGGTATCCGCGGTCACGACCGGCAAGCATGCAGGAGACGCGAGACTCAATAAATAAATGACTTAGTATGTTTGCATATCTCACTGTGCTATTTCCTTTTTAAATTGCTTTTGTGGACAAGAAAATTAGCATATAGAGATAAACATAATTCATGTTTCTGGTGGTCGCGTTGACTCTAATGTCACTATGTCAGGCCATGAATGCATGCAATGTCGAACTTTTGCACAGAATGCACTATCCGTGTTTTGAGAGACGACCGTACAGCTAGTAGGACCAGTGGTTGATGCGCAGGCAGAAAGCAGGTTCACCACTTTGAACTGCAGTCTCTCAGAGTTGGGGAAAATGCTCAGGGGATAGCGCTGTTTCCTTGATGATTTCTATAGTTTCTCACCATTAGATGAAAAAAGCTTTGAGCTTCCATGGAGTCCATGCATAAGTCAGTGGAGGCTTTCCTGCTAATCAGTGTGTGATTATTGCAACCCGTCCTCGGTGAAAATTATTAACCCCCACGATCTTCAAATCGATTCCTTGTTCTTCATATTCGGAAAGACATTTGTTTCGTCAATGATATAGCCCCGAAACTTGCGTGCGGGAACACGATGCTCAAACAGGTAATCAATCTCCTCAAAGGTGCGGTCTCCAGTCTAAAAACAGCGTGACATGTTAGGATCATGTGTATGATAGCCGTGGAACTGGGCACCATTCGGGGAATCAACGTACCTCTGGGAGACGGAAAAAGCTCCAAGCAAACGAGAATAAACTAAGCCCACCCCACAAAAGCTCGATCATGGCGCCAGCATTGGCGGACCCGGGATTCAAAAGGTAAGGGCCAGCAACAGTGATGACCAAGTATGACATTCCGTTGAAAGTGGCGGTGAGTGAAAACGTCTTTGCCCGGAGCCTCGTCGAGGGAACCTCGGACGAAATGACATATGCCAACGGTCCAATGGTAAGAGAATAGACGAGTTGCATCGTAATTAAGATAGATGCCTGGGCCCAGGAATAGGCTTGGTTGGTTTTGTAGTCAGGGCCAAGACACATGAACGCCACGACCCACAGACAAGCGATGTTGTAGGTTAGGCCGTACATCCAGGCGCGTCGGCGACCGAACCAGATGATGGGAAACATGGAACAGAAAACACCCACGAAACCAACACCATTGAGGCCGATACCCATGTTGAAGGCGTTTTCTGAACTTAGCCCAGTCTGCTCAAACAGATAGACAGCGAAGCCTACTGGGTTGCCCTAGAAGTTTTGGACGATGAAGACGGCAGAGGCAATCTCGAGGCGACGGAGATTGGGTCCCTTGAAACAATCCCGGAATGTAGCCCCAACCTCGAGCTCTCTCTCATAAATGTCGGTCTTCACCATCATGGCAAGCACATCGTGGTTGTGGGCGTGACACTGCTTGCTAGAAAGTCGATCGAGTGCCTTCTTGGCGTCGTCCAGCCGGTTCTGGCGAATCAGCCACCACGGTGACTCAGGACACCAGTAGAGGAAGGAGAGGATGAAGACAGGCCAAACCCATTGTAGGGCATATGGAATCTTGTATGCCCATACGCTGCTCCAGCTGACGAAGGCTCGTGTGATGCCTGTCTGGATGAACTGGCCCATCACGTAGCACAAGCTGACGTACGCGATGAAGATTCCACGCAATCGCAAGGGCAGAACCTCTGACGCATACACAGGGGCTAGAACGTGGTAGCCACCCCATATGATCCCAGCGAGATACATGGAAACGGTGAGAACGGTGCGGTTTGGTGCAAAGACTTGCATGAAGACGAGGGCGGAAGTCATGATGAGGTAAATGGCCAAGGCCTTCTTCCGGCCCAAGGAGTCCATGGGTACAGCAGCAAGCCATGCACCAGCGACTTGTCCGACGATGGGGCCCATACTCATTGCCACCTGCCACTGGACGGGAATCTCCATCCCATGTCCATCGACATGCTCGCCAAGGTGGTCTCTAAACGCCGGCAAGGCGTAAAAGTTTCCGGTAATCTCAATGTCGTAGGCACGCATGATGACCGACATCGAGACGAGCATCGACCAAAGAGCCGCTTTCTTATAACGCCTGAGTGCCTCCCATATTGTCAGATCGTGTTCTGAGAGGGTGGCTTGTATGGCTTTCTGCTCATCCGTGGCGTCGAGTTTACCGCCATCCTCCGCAGCAGCAAGTGTGTCGTGCTCGTGGTTGTCATCGCTACAAGTATTTGCATGCTCCACCATGGCTACCTCAGATTTGGGTTCCATGTTGGTTTTTGGGTTGGGAAATTAGAGAAAATCGCAATTGGTGAATAGAGATGTCGGGTTTAAGCACGACACACAGGCAGAAAGGACGAGCTGCAGCTTGATGTTTTTATAACATATTAAACGACGGCGTTCAGTGGTGTCAGAAAGGAGGAACGTCGTCGTCAGGCCATTGATGGGCAGTCTGTGGACATGTAATCCGGGGAGAGGAAGGGTATACCTTGCCATACCCCATGGGAACCCCGCAGAATGTTGCGAATCCTTCGATCCATACCGGCGGGGTCCGCCATGAGGCCAAGACGCAGATAACAGTGAGAGCGCCGGCTATGATCCAGTGACGAATATCCGGACGAAGTTACAAGCTAAATCAACGCGGCGTTACGGCAGCACGCAGATGGTTGGCCCCCCAGGTGATTTATGCGGAGAGATTGCCCAGAAGAAACTGTCGAGTTCCAGGGATCATGGCTTGGAGATGCGACGAGGATCGCGGAGGAGTTCCTCTCCAGTTCCCCTCCATTATTACCCGACGGCAAAATGATCTTCTCGGACATCATCCCCAACCCCACAAATAATGACATGTTGCCCAAAATATCGTTTTCATCACCAGTTGATGCCTCATGTTTCCAAGACGACGACAACTTTCCATACAACTCTGGGTAACAGGACACGTTGACCACTTACTGCCATGTAGCCTTAGTAAGTCTTTCGCCAGGGAATTTATAAGAACTGTGATCGTTCGAGGTTTCTCAGATTGTCTCTAAAACAAGAACAAGACCCACTTCAATCCAAAAGCGACATCCTATTTACCATTTCCTGGTTGAGTTTGACACTTCTCTGAACCTTTCATTGTACATTCATTTGATCAACTTGCGACTTGAGCCATGACAGCAATTCCAGCAATTGGCCTCAGCGCCCCTCCACTTGTGATGGGAGGAGCAGGCTTTAGTTACCAGCTCCACCCCGATCCGGAATCTCTGCCAATCACGGAAATTCTTATACGGGCATTTGAGCTCGGCATACGTTCGATCGACACGTCGCCCTACTACGAGCCTTCTGAGCAGCTCATGGGGGCAGCCCTCGCACATGCAGACGTCAAAGCCAAGTACGGCCGCGGCGACTATGAGATCATGACCAAGGTCGGTCGCATCAATGAGAATGAGTTCGACTACTCACCGGACTGGGTTTACAAGTCTGTTGCGCGATCACTAGATCGTTTTCACACCCCGTACTTGGATGTCGTCTTCTGTCACGACGTTGAATTCGTACCGAAACAAGATGTTATCACCGCTGTAGGTGTCTTGCTTGATCTCCAGCGGACTGGTCACATTTTACATGTTGGCATATCAGGATACGACATCGAGGTTTTAGTGGAGATTGCCGCCACAGTATTGGAGCGTCATGGTCGCCCCGTGGACGTGGTCCAGACATGGGCTCAGCTCACCCTCCAAAATACACAAGCTGAGACACGCGGATTCGACAGGCTCCGTTCTGCTGGAGTCAATCGTGTCTTTTGCTCCAGCCCGCTGGCCGTGAGTCTGTTAAGAAGGGGAGGCATCCCCACGGGTCTCACGGGCGATTGGCATCCTGCTCCTGAGGGCCTACGGGCAGCGGCAGCTGAAGCGGCGACATGGGTGGAGAATAATGGAAATGGAGAGACGTTCTCGTCTGTTGCATTACAGTATGCGATTATGAAAGCGAAACAAAATTGCGAATCTTCTTTCGCGGTATCTACAATCACGGGTGTGAGCAGCATATCCGACCTGGAGCAAAATGTCGCTGCTGCGAAGGAAGTACTGAAACATGGCTCCTCTGCTGAAAGCAAGGCACCCGACAGCTTGCGACATTACACTGAGCTGGATCAAAGACACTGGAACGCAACGCGCCTCTTTTTGAGCAGGCTCGCTCGATTCTTGGAGAATGGGTAGATTATGAATTCTCGAACCAGAAGAGTGTAGCCGAAGAGAGTCAACTATAGACAGCCAGAGGCAGATCAAATCAGTTGATCGAGAAACCTGCACTGTAATTCTCCTTGCAGTAATAACTGTAACACTGGCTTTTAATGTCATAATATTACAACGAGTAGAGGAAGAGAAGTCTCCAATACGCACCTCATGATCATGTCATACTGTATAGAAGCGGTGGACGAAACTTAGGGACGTCTCAACATGTATTGGAAACCACGAATAGACACATCAGATATGGCAGCTTGTACTAAGGCTCATCTCATGCGATTGGACTCTTCCTTTCAGTGCCATCGTTGCCTTTTGCTCGGTAATCTTCCACTGATAAAGCGAATTGGTCCCGGGAATCGAGGATGAAAAACACTATGTCAAGAGGTTCGTTCTGAAAATGTAAAAGCCTGATACCAGCACTTTTGGGTCCCACACGGAAACGCCCGATCAGTATATGACGAAAAGAATACTAGCTCACGTCGATATGTCGACTCGATTTCTGCGTTGCCTACATCGGAGCCCCGCGTCCGCTGGTAATTCGAAGTTCGAAATCCAGTCTGAACTTTTCCAATAGACCGACAAGGGTAATTTTCCTTTTTACCAGCGGTTCACTAAACTCTGACTTTCCCCCGCACGAACCTCCGCCTTTCCCCGGACTTTGTGCGGAGAACCATGTGGAGGTTGGCGATCTTCGGCTACTAAAGCCTTGCACTTTGGGTACATATCCAGCACTTGCTGCGGCCACCGGCATCTATAAACCAATAGCACAGCGCATGCCAATATCCCGAGTATCACTTCCTTGTTTATTTGCGCCTGGACCTTCCCCGGCAACATCTACTACGTGCAGGTTGAGACCCTCGGTACATTATTATGGATTACCGAAAGCGGCCCCTCATATCAGGTTGTGCCAGATTCTTCATCAAATGACCTGCCAGACGTCTCAGAAAATGTCTGAGTGGGGCGGCGCAATCTCAAGCTGGCCGGTAGCGATTGGATAGGCGATGCGAACAATGATCATGCATCACTCCTGTAAACTTCAGCACTTATTACCCCACGGGTAATAACCACAGGTTCAATTCTCCTTTGCCGTTGGCAAACTTTGCCTCTCTACAAACACTAGATGTATGAATACCACACAAAGCGAAACCCTAGATCGTACAATCCCGACATTTCGGAAATATGGAGGCAGAGAACAATGCCGAGGCCCGTCAGGCTGGCGAGGATGATGGGTCAATACCTCTAGCTGGACCTCCTACAGGCGCTCGTAAGAGGACCAGACACGCTTGCGACCGATGCAGTGCTTTAAGGGTTCGTTGCGATGGCCTTTAACCCAGCGCTGCTGCAAGTGCAAGTCACTTAGTAAGTAATACAAGCTAATTAGCTAAGTTAACGCTATTACTACTACCTAAATAAGTAATTTATTACCTCTCGATTAAATTATTAAACTTAATATCTTATTTATAAATAGATATAACTAATAAGAGGTCATAGATTAGTTAGTACTCTACTTGTTCTAATATATAAAGTTACTAAAATATAATATTATTACTAATATTATAATATTTCTATATCTAATTAATATTTTATAAACTACTCTTTAAATATTAAACTTTAAGTTATTTGTTTTAAAATTTTCTAAAAGAGTAGAAGTTATTATAGTAGTTTAAATAGTGGTAACATATAACATTCTTTTATAATAATAATAATAATAGAAGAGAAATAATAACGCTAAACTTACTTTAATATTCTACATAAAATAAACTAATAAAGTTTAAGGTATAAAACCTTACATAAAAATACTTGATTTATTATAACTTATAACTATAATATTGACTATGTAATATGTATAGCTACGTAAGCACCTTATGTAATTAGCAGTTTAGCAGGTTACGTTTCAGGTTATCTTTCCCCTCACTTTTCCCTACTAGATGATGCAACCTGCCAACAACAACAACCAGACTCATCACAATACATCTGTTCCCTTATTCTTATCTATACAATTAAATGCTCATAAATGCTCAGAATTATTACCTTTTATCATAACATTACCACATCTATAACCTTATGTCACGGGCTAGAGCCCGGATTGATATCTCCGGCTTCGCCAGAGCAGTTACTGAGATCCGGCTCCGTTGGACCCACTATTCTGCCGCAGTATGCCGCCTAACCCAGCCTGCTTCACCGCTGTTAGGTGCCTACTCTTGTAAAGTCCTTTCTTCCTTCTTCAGCTTAGAATAGTCAATCGACGGCACCTCTACGTTGAACAAGCCTAGGGGCTAGCCCCTTACATATTCTAAGCTTAACAACAAAAGACGCTTACGAAACCTCACGAGAGCGATACGACCGATTCGCTAGAGGGTAGCGTATTGAGAAGACGCTATATGAAAACCTCACGAGTGCGACACGATAGATTCGCTAGAGGGTAGCGCAAACGATGCGATGACTGCAGAGATTGACCGCAGGGTTAACGAAGCGGTTAACGTAAGCATACGTCCTCTTCAGGACCAGATGATGCAGCTCTTAACAGCTCTGAACGGGCTTATGTCAACAGATAGAGCAACCCTTACGCTGATTGCAAGCAGCATATCAACCCTGTCTACAGCTGATACGACTATATAGGCAATAAGCGACAGCATTATAATAATAGTGGCTGAGCCCTATAAACCAACCTCAACTAGACGACTGAGGCTAACGCTTCCTAACCCCCTAAAGTTTGATAGCATAAGACGATAGTTTCCACAGTAGTGTTACGGTCAGCTATCCGACAGTAGGGTCTGCTAACAGAAGCTGGGGATTGATACGTTCTAACAGTACACTGGGTCGTGGTCGTAGGTCGTAGGCTGTAGTAGATCGGTTCTTCAGAGGCCAAGGTGATCAGTCTTAGACTTAACAAGTGATTCGCAGTGAAGGTAAGCTGAGAGTATCCGTGAGGATGAACACTAAGTTGATTGCTGAAGAGCTATGGAAGTCTGACTATAAGCCAGGCTCAGGGTCATACTATATACAAGTTCTGAACAGTACCCTTTACTCTATCACTGATCCCTTACTAGGTACCAGTGAGCGCTCATTAACTGTTAGTGAGCGCTCAGTAACTTCGACTGAGCGCTCAGTGATCCACACTGCCTGCTCAGTCTTATCTTATCATCACGTGACTTATATCATAGTTCTTCCGTCTCCAAGTGAGTCCCTGTTGTTCCCATGATCCTGCAGTACAAATGTCCTATCCTAGCCGCCCGACGCCCGAGTGGGTCGTTCAGCTGTTATCCTTGTTGTTACGGTCAGCTATCCGACAGTAGGGTCTGCTAACAGAAGCTGGGGATTGATACGTTCTAACAGTACACTGGGTCGTGGTCGTAGGTCGTAGTTCGTAGGCTGTAGTAGATCGGTTCTTCAGAGGCTAAGGTGATCAGTCTTAGACTCAACAAGTGATTCGCAGTGAAGGTAAGCTGAGAGTATCCGTGAGGATGAATACTAAGTTGATTGCTGAAGAGCTATGGAAGTTTGACCATGAGCCAGGCTCAGGGTCATACTATATATAAGTCTAAGTAGTTTCTTTAAACTGAGGACCGATGTCTTCCGAGCGGTCCCCAGGTGTGGACCGCTTTCTCTATGTTGGTCCTAGATCAGGACTGCTTATCTCTTGTCGGTCCTTCTTATCGTCATATAACCTATACCATAGTTCTTCTGTCTCCGAGTGAGTCCCTGTTGTTCCTGTGATCCTGCAGTATAAATATCTTATCCTAGCCGCCTGATGCCTAAGTGGGTCGGTCAACTGTTATCTATACATAACGGGTTGTAACATCAGGTCCCCTCTCTAAAGGTCTTATCCTTAAGACCTAACATAAGTAGGTCGTTGGTCCTAGGTTGGGGGTCTGTTAATCGTGCTTCCTGATTTACTTATGATGCTGACACTATGTCAGGCCACGTCCAAAAATCGAAAAAGAAATCGGTCGTCACTGCGCTTAAGGATCGTGAGCGCGAAGCTTTAATTGAATACGTTAAGTCTTATTCTTTGGCTAGCGACATGCCTTGTACCTGTTGTTTTCGAGCAAAGGTTCCTTGCTGTTTTGGTGAGAAATCGTCTAGGTGTCGTATGTGTATCGAGGCGAAGAAGCCTTGTGATGGCGTTCTGGTGGCTTCAACTCATATAGTGACTTCTGATCCTAATTTATCTGAGCGATGACTAACCGTGTTGTAGTGCAAAAGTTGAATAAGCAACAAAAGGAGTGGGATGAAAAAGAAGAGAAGGCTGGTGAGGAGCTGCTTGTACTTCATCAGGAGTTTGCTCGTTTGCAGACTCAAATGGCGGAGGCTGCTAGCCGCTTGAGTCATATTTGTAAGACGAGGAAGTTGGTGAGAGAGCGTTAGACTGAGGCTTTTGAGCGGGGAATGCAGGAAGTCGACGAGGAGGATGGTGTGCTTCCAGCGTTAGATGCTCATGAGAAGTGGGTTGTGAACGATCTTCAGGCTGCTAGGGTGCCTAACGATCCAGAGTGGCAAGAGTTTGGCTTTGGTCTGGACTTTGTCGATCTGGGCCCTTTGGTGTCTGATGTTAGTGGTGCTTTGGTGTCGTCTTAGCTTGTTTCTGGTGTTCCTAGGCGAATAAATGGTTTTCCTTGTTGCGGTCGATCTGCTTCGATAGGTGGTTTGGTGAAGCGATGTGGGTGCTTGATTCGCTTATATCTGGCGTTCTTCTGGACTAGTACAGCAGGTGTTAGTGTGACTTCTCGTTCTTAGTGTTGTTGCCAGTAGATCGTAAGTTCTTCTGCTGCGTTAGTGATATTTTTGGCTGGTTCCTATGTGTTGTCTTTATATCTGTATCCTTTCTATTTAATAAGGTATTGATACCCTTCTGGTTCCTTAAGATGATTGATAATTCGTTCGACTTTATATTCTGGTTTGTTGTCTTCCACGATGATGATATCGTTTGTCTGTGATCTGCGTGGTGCTGGTTTAAGAAGTGAGATGTGGAA